TTTTTTAATCATCAATTCTGCTCTTTCTGTACCTATAACTATTTCTTAACTTTCTTTGGTGATGTGGTTAAGATAGTTGGAAATTTATTATTTTCAGGTCTTGTGTGTCTTTGTTTTTGAGACAGTCTCAATCTGTTGCCAAGGCTGGAGTGTAGTGGCATGATTATGGCTCTCTGCCACCTTGAATTGGGCTTAAGGGAACACGCCACCTTAGCTTTTTGAGTAGCTAGGACTACAGACCCCTGTACTCAGCTAATTAAAAAAATTTTTCTTTGTAGAGAAAAGGTCTTGCTGTGTTGTCAGGCTAGTCTCAAACTCATGGCCTCCAGCAGTCCTCCTGCCTTGGCCTCCCATAGTGCTAAAATTACAAGTGTGAGCTGACACCACACCCAGCCTTTTCAGGTCTTTTAAACTGCAGTAGGCAAAACAGTAGCAACACTTAGTCTAGGGCTAGTTTTGCCCTACTACTTAGGCAAAACCTTTCTGAGTGCTTCAGTACTCCATTAGTTACGTTTGTCAGTCTACTTGATGGGAAGATGAATCATTCCCAGCTCTCTGTGAGCCTCAGAGATGGTTTCCTCTGATCTTTCAATGATGAGTACTCACTTTTAGACTTGAGGGGGACTCTGCAAATTTCCAGAGCTTTGCCCAGCTGTTTCTTCTGTATTCTTCCCAGCATCTCTGTCTACTTGGACTCCTCAGGTTTCTTTTTCTTTCTTTTTTTTTTGAGACAGCCTCACACTGTCACCTGGGCTGGAGTGCAGTAGTGTGATTTTGGCTCACTGCAACCTCTGCCTTCCAGGTTCAAGTGATTCTCCTGGCTCATCCTCCCAAGTAGCTGCTGATTACAGGTGCCCGGCACCATGCCCAACTAATGTTTTTGTGTTTTGAGTAGAGATGGGGTGGAGTTTCACTATGTTGGCCAGGCTGGTCTCAGACTCCTGGCCTCAGATCTGCCCACCTCAGCCTCCCAAAGTGCTGGGATTACAGGCGTGAGCCACCACACCCGGCCAACCTCCTTAGGTTTCTAGTGCAGTCTCAATTACAGAAAACATGGATTGGCTTTCCCCTTGCTATGGCAATTTTCTCAGGCCAGTAGGCTGGGCAGTCCTAGTGTTGCATGATGAAAAAGGCTTGAAAAGTGTTAGTTCATATACTATGTCCAGTTTTTTTGTTGTTCCTATTTTCAATGGGAGGATAAATCCAGTGCCAATTCTATACCTTGGCTAGAAGCAGAATCCTATCTTGTTTTCTCTTTGTGCTCATATTTTTCCATCTTTGGCTAGCAGGGAACTGTTTTGTTTTTTTTTTTAAAGACAGGGTTTCACCATGTTGGTCAGGCTGGTCTTGAACTCCCAACCTCAGGTGATCCGCCCTCCATGGCCTCCAAAGTGCTTGGATTACAGGCATGAGCCACCACGCCTGGCCCAGGGAACTGTTTTAATTGGTTTCTGTCCTTTTAACACAACCCAGCAATAGTTAATATTTTCCTTGCTTTCTGGCATGTCAGGATGTCCCAGACCTATAGTTAGCTATTTCTGCAAGAAGGTGGTTCTTTTGTTGTAAAATTTCTTTCTTTTTTTTTTTGAGACGGAATCTGGCTCTGTCATCCAGGCTGGAATGCAGTGGTGCGGTTTCAGCTCACTGCAACCTCTACCTCCTGGGTTCAAGGGATTCTCCTGCCTCAGCCTCCTGAGTAGTTGGGATTACAGGTGCTTGCCACCATGCCTGGCTAATTTTTGTATTTTTAGTAAAGACGGGGTTTCATTATTTTAGCCAGGCTGGTCTCGAACTGCCCACCTCGGCCTCCCAAAGTGTTGGGATTATAGGCATGAGCCACTGCGCCCTGCCAAATATTTTTATATTTTAAGATATTGTATGTCTTACCTGTGATGTTGAAATGTTCTATATTTATGAAATGATGGTGATGTCTGTGACAGGTTTTTTAACCTCAAGGTTTTCAGTAAGCTTATTGAACACCTAATATACAGGGGCTATGATAAGATCTGTGGAGGCAGAGGGTACAAAAAGAATAGGACACAGGTATGGAAATGTGAACATAAGATGGTATGTGAGGAAGATCCTATTCTGAGGCCATACAGTAATTAGGACTTGTAAGGACTAAAACCAGGTACTTAGTGGGGAAGAGAGGATATATGCTGTGGAAAAATGCCATGGGGATTCTGGAGAGTAGAGGTGAACTATTTATTTTTTAACTTTGTATCTATCTTCCAAAGTATCTCTAGAAATAGGTATTATTTGCTTACAATATTAATTTATTACAGGTCTAAATTAAAGTTGTACAACAAAGGTCTGTAATGTGCTCAGTGGATACTGTTATTTTCCTTCTACCCTCTTCTGACTTTAAGCAGGTGTAGAAAAAAATCATTGGAGGGATTGTGAACATTATTTGTTATAAGAATGTGTATTTCTGGCTCACACTTGTAATCTAGCACTTTAGGAGACTGAGGCGGGCAGATCGCTTGAGCTCAGGAGTTTGAGACCAGCCTGGACAACATGGCAAAACCCCGTCTCTAATAAAAATGCAAAAAATTAGCTAGGCATCGTGGCATGCCCCTGTAGTCCCAGCTACTTGGGCTGAGGCGGGAGGATTGCTTGAGCCTAGGAGGTTGAGACTGCAGTGAGCCAAGATAATACCACTTCACTCCCGCCTGGGTAACAAAGTGAGACCCTGTCTCAAAAAAAAAAAAAAAAAAAAAGAATATGTATTTATTTGGAGTAGAGTGTCTTCTCCAAATGACTGGCTTAACCTTCTGTACTGGTAAAATAAATAAATATAGTAATATTTGAATGTACAAAGTATTTGAATGTAAGAATGAAAGAAAATTTGTGTGCCTTGGATTTTTAACTGGTAAGAGTAGAAATATAGAATGTGGCTAATTATCTTGTTACCTGTATGATTTTTAGAATATTTATCATTAAATGCAATTTGTTTTGGGCAGAAAAAATAAGCTCGCCTAAGAAAGTTGTTACATCACCGAGAAAAGTTCCTCCACCATCACCAAAAAGTAGCGGACCAAAGCGAGCACTTCCTCCTAAAACCTTGGCAAATTATTTTAAGGTATCTTCCAAACGTAAAAATAATGAAGAAATAGGAATGCCTCTGGAAAATAATAAAGGTAAGACATTAAATTAACAAATTAAATTTTATATTTTTTAATAATGACCCTAATACATAAAAATGTGAACACATTTTATAAGTTCCTGTTGCTATTTATTGAATCTCAGCTACACTAAAGGCTGAAGGTTCTACATATAGAAGTTTTAATATTTTGTTTTACCTTTTTTTTTTTTTTTTNATGCCCATTTGGACTTAGTGATTGTATTCTAAGAATATTGAGAAAAATCTTATTAATCACAAGTTAGGTGTTTTTTGTTTGGTTTGTTTTGAGACAGGGTCTCTGTGTCGCCCAGGCTGGAGTGCAGTGACAGGATCTTGGCTCACTGCAACCTCCTCCTCCTGGGTTCAAGCAATTCTCCCACCTCAGCCTCCTGAGTAGCTGGAATTAGAGGCGTGTACCACCAAACCGGCTAATTTTTGTATTTTTAGTAAAGACGGGGTTTTGCCATATTGGCCAGACTGGTTTCGAACTGCTGACCTCAAGTGATTCACCCACCTCAGCATCCCAAAGTGCTGGGGTTACAGGCCTGAGCCACCACACCCAGCTTATTTCAGTTTTTGTTTGTTTGTTTGAGTCGGAATCTGACTTTGTCATTCAGGCTTGAGTGTAGTGGTGCTACCTTGGCTCACTGCAACCTCCGCCCTCCTGGGTTCAAGTGATTCTCCTGCCTCAGCCTCCTGAGTAGCTGAGATTACAGGCGTGTGCCACCACGCCCAGCTAATTTTTGTACTTGTAGTATAGTTGAGATTTTGCCATGTTGGCCAGGCTGGCCTCGAAGCCCTGACCTCAGGTGATCTGCCTGCCTCGGCCTCCCAAAGTGGTGGGATTACAGGCATGAGCCACCATGGCTTTCCTGTTTCAGTTTTGATCATAGATTTTAGTTTGAGCTTCTTCTGTAAAAATATCCAGTTTTTACCAAAAGTTGATTTTACCTAAAATTCTAATATTTTATTTATGCAGGAATAAAAAATTTTTTTGAACAGAAACAGATTACTCAGACTAAATCTACAAATGCAACTAATTCAAATGTCAAAGATGTTGGAGCTGAAGAACCCAACAGAAAAAATGCAACATCTCTTATTCTTTTTGAGGAGGTAGGCTTATAGAAGCATACATTTGTGAGAGCTCATGATAAAGACTTACTTTAAAGAATACTATATGTTTTCTTATAAAGAATTGTAAAATAGCTAAGAAGGTCAGGAATATGTGTATCTATTTGAAATTAAAGCAAATGAAACTGTCAACTCTAGAAGAATTTTTCAGGAAGATGATTAATGTAATTCACAGCTGCTAATTATTGTTAAATGATTGTATAAATTCAGATTCATATCTGTCTAGTTATAAGTGGTTGTGTTTTTAACATTTGATAGTTAATAATTTTAAAATTCATTATAGCGTGTGACATTATAAACTTTCAACATGGGCTGAATTCACACTGTTCATAAATTCATAAATTTTGTCTCTAACAGACAGAATATTTACTGTGTATACATAACTGATATTCAGTAAGTGTATTGTTACGTATTACATTAATATTCAATAAATTGTTTGTAGGTTGATGTAATCTTTGATGAAGATGCTGGGTTTTTGAATGCAATCAAAACATTCATGGCAACAACTAAACGACCTGTAATCCTTACTACAAGTGGTAGGTAGCAATGATTTTACTTAAACAGTTACTCAAATCTGTAGTTAATCTGGAGACTGGAGTAATTATAATTAACTCACCAAATAGCAATCACTTTTTAAAATTGGATACTACTTTGGGTTACTGTGTTGGGTGTTAGATATTTAGGAGGCAGAGAACAATCTCTAGAATGCAAATAAGAGATCTAGTAAAGGTATTTTGGTAGGGAAAATACTAGATTATTCTCCTTGCTTCCTTATCATAGCTATAATTAGATCACTAAATCTATTTAGTGGTCAGGATTTTTTATGGATCGCAATCTTTCCGCTTTTCTTAATACTGAACTTAGCCATTCTTTAGCCCCTGATAACACTTACTTTTTTTTTTTTTTTTTTTTTTTTTTTTTTTTTTTTTTTTTTTTTTTTTTTTTTTTTTTTTTTTTTTTTTTTTTTTTTTTTTTTTTTTTTTTTTTTTTTTTTTGAGACGGAGTTTCGCTCTTGTTACCCAGGCTGGAGTGCAATGGCGCGATCTCGGCTCACCGCAACCTCCGCCTCCCGGGTTCAGGCAATTCTCCTTCCCCAGCCTCCTGAGTCGCTGGGATTACAGGCATGCGCCACCATGCCCAGCTAATTTTTTGTATTTTTAGTAGAGACGGGGTTTCACCATGTTGACCAGGATGGTCTCGATCTCTCGACCTCATAATCCACCCGCCTCGGCCTCCCACAGTACTGGGATTACAGGCTTGAGCCACTGCACCCGGCCAACACTTTCTTATGGATTATTGCATATTTAGTTAGCTATCATCAGCCTAACGGAATTGATCTATCTTCTAAAAAATTATCACAGAATGTTTAATTTTAAAAACTCAATTTCTTTTTTAAAAAACTACAAATACTATATATTATAGTATTCTAATATTTTTCCAATTATAAACCTTCATGAGGCTAGGCTCTACTTACAAATTAATGCCCATTTGGACTTAGTGATTGTATTCTAAGAATATTGAGAAAAATCTTATTAATCACAAGTTAGGTGTTTTTTGTTTGGTTTGTTTTGAGACGTTTTGTTTTGTTTTGTTTTGTTTTGAGACGGAGTCTCGCTCTGTCGACCAGGCTGGAGTGCAGTGGTGCCATCTCAGCCTCCTGAGTAGCTGGGACTACAGGTACATGCCTCCACGCCAGGCTAATTTTGGTATTTTTAGTGTTTCACCATATTGGTCAGGCTTGTCTTGAACTCCTGACCTCAGGTGATCCACCAGCCTCAGCTTCCCAGAGTGCTAGGATTACAGGCGTAAGCCACTGTTCCCAGCTAGTAGTTTTATTAGAAGATCATAGTTGGTCAGGTGTGGTGGCTCATGCCTTTAATCCCAGTACTTTGGGAGGCTAAGGTGGGCACTTGAACCTGTAAGTTTGAGATCAGCCTCGGCATCATAGTGAGACCCCATCTCTATAACAAACTTAAAAATTAGCTGGGTGTGGCAGCTTGAGCTTATAGTCCTGGCTGCCTGGGAAGCTGAGGCAGAGGATCACTTGAGCCCAGGAGTTTGAGGCTGCAGTTAGGTATGACTGCACCACAGCACTGGGCAGTGGGGGTAGGGGGTGCTAAATATTTTCATAGGAAAGTATAACTGGAAAAGCTATTTAATGGTCTTAATGTTTAAGAATTTTTTTTGTGTATGTGTGTGTGTAGATCCAACATTTAGTTTAATGTTTGATGGCTGCTTTGAAGAAATCAAGTTCAATACTCCTTCCCTGGTAAGTTTTAAATTTTGATAATCATAAATTACATATCACAATCGTGTAAAAGTAGTTTATTATTAAATACAGCTATAATTTAGCCAGGCATGGTGTCTCATGCCTGTAGTCCCAGCTACTTGGGAGGCTGAGGCAGGAGGATCACTTGGGGGAGGAAGTTACAGTGAGCTGAAATTGTACCATTGCCCTCTAGTCTGGGTGACAGAGTGAGATTCTGTCTTTAAATAAATAAGGCAAGGCACAGTGGCTCATGCCTGTAATCCCAGTACTTTAGGAGGCTAAGGAGGGCAGATTGCTTGAGCTAAGGAGTTCAAGACCAGCTTGGGCAACATGGCAAAACCCTGTCTCTACATAAAAATACAAAAAAATTAGCCAGGCGTGGTGGCACATGCCTGTAGTCCTAGCTACTCAGGAGGCTGAGGTGAGACAATTGCTTGAGCCCAGGAGGTCAAGGCTGTGGCTGCAGTGAGCAGTGATTGTACTACTGCACTCCAGACGGGTGACAGAGCAAGACTCTGCCTCAAAAAAAAAAAAAAAAATAGCTGGCTGGTTATGGTGTCTCACACCTGTAATCCCAGCACTTTGGGAGGCCAAGGTGGGTGGATCACCCAAGGTTGGGAGTTCGAGATCAGCCTGACCAACATGGAGAAACCCTATCTCTATTAAAAATACAAAATTAGCCAGGCTTGGTGGTGCGTGCCTATAATCCCAGCTACTCCGGAGGCTAAGGCAGGAGAATTACTCGAACTTGGGAGGTGGAGGTTGCAGTGAGCCAAGATGACGCATTGCGCTCCAGCCTGGGCAACAAGAGTGAAACTCTGTCTTAAAAAAAAAAAAAGCTACAATTTAAATGTGGTTTCTAAGGAATATGTTAAAATTTTTAAGTTTCAGGAAACTTCCAATTATTTCTCTTTTTTTGCTTAAAAAATATTTTTCAAATATTTAAATTTAAAAAAATTTTTACCAGGCCCCAATGTTCACTAGGTTTTTTTGCCTGATAACAATGCTTTTCTGAGGTAAAATTTAAATACAGTTAAAAATACCCTTACATGAATAACCTAACAAATATATTGTGTACATATAACATACATAAAAAATCAGTGTCATTGTTATGCAGATCAAAATATAGAGCATTTCCATTATCTCCAAAAGTTCTCATGGACCCTTTCTAGTAAGCATCCCCTTCCCCACCAGAAGTAACCACCTTTTTTTTTTAACTTTAATAAAAAGTTTTGTGTGTGTGTGTGTGTGTGTGTGTGTGTGTGTGTGTTTTTCTTTTTTCTTGTTTTTCATTCTTCTAAAAAAATATATTTTAAAACTAACAATCAGTTGCTGGGCATGGTGGCTCATGCTTATAATCACAGCAGTTTGGGAGGTTGAGGTTAGAGGATTGTTTGAGGCCAACAGTTCCAGGCTGCAGCTATGATTGTGGTCAAGTCAGTTTTACTGTATGCGTTCTTTACTTTATCTTTTTAGATGAGGTCTCACTCTGTTTACTCAAGCTGGAGTGTAGTGGCACAGTCGGCTTGTTGCCCAGGCTGGAGAGCAGTGGCACCAGCTTGGCTCACTACTGCCTCCACTTCTGAGTTCAAGCAATTCTCCCACCTCAGTCTCCTGAGTAGCTGGGGTTGGAGATACACGCCACCATGCCCGCTAATTTTTTTTGTATTTGTAGTAGAGATGGGATTTCACCATGTTGGCCAGACTGGCTTTGAACTCCTGACCTCAGTCCACCTGCCTCAGCCTTCTAAAGTGCTGGGATTATAGGCGAGCCACCACACCAGGCACTGTTCTTACTTTTAAATTGTGTTTCTTAGCTGGAGGCGGTGGCTTATGCCTATAATCCCAGCACTTTGGGAGGCTGAGGCAGGCAGATTGCTTGAGCCCAGGAGTTTGAGACCAACCTGGGAAACGTGGTGAAACCCCGTCTCCACAAAAAACTTAAAAAATTAGCCAGGCATGGTAGTACACACCTGTAGTCCCAGCTACTGGAAGACTGAGGTGGGAGGATCACTTGAGCATGGGAGGCAGGGGTTGCAGTGAGCCAAGATCATGCCACTGCATTCTAGCCTGGGTGACAGAGCAAGATCCTGTCTCAAAAAAAAAAAAAAAAGTGTATCTCTTAAATATCACATAGTTGAATCTTTTTAAAATCTTGTCTAGGCCAGGCATGGTGGCTCATGCCTGTAATCCCAGCACTTTGGGAGGCCGAGGTGGGTGGATCACAAGGTCAGGAGATCAAGACCATCCTGGCTAACATGGTGAATTAAACCTCATCTCTACTAAAATACAAAAAACAAAATTAGCCAGGTTTGGTGGCCTGCACCTGTAGTCCCAGCTACTTGGGGTGCTGAGGCAGGGGAATCTCTTGAACCCGGGAGGTGGAGGTTGCCATGAGCCGAGATTACCCCATTGCATTCCAGCCTGGGCAATAGAGTGAGACTCCGTCTCAAAAAAAAAAAAAAATTTGTCTAAAGAAGCTGGGTGCTGTGGCTCACACCTGTAATCCTAGCACTTTGAGAGGCTTAGGATGTAAAAAGAAAAAAAATCAACTGGGTGTAGTGGCATGTTCCTGTAGTCCCAGCTACTTGGGAGGCTGAGGCAGGCGGATTGCTTGAGCCTGGGAGGTGGAGGTTGTAGTGAGGTGAGATTGCGCCACAGCACTCCAGCCTGGGCAACAGAGCAAGGCTCTGGAAGAAAAAGAAAATAACAATTTGTCAAGACAATTCTTCATTCTTCCTTTTCTGTAGTCTGTTGGATTAATCAAGTATATTATTTCATTTTACCTTCACTATTGGCTTTCAGCTATATGCTAATATGGTCTCCACTAGCCAAATGAAGCTATTGAGTTTTTAAAATGCAGCTAGTCTACATTTAATAAAAGATCACATTTTGTATGATAATAATTATATGAAATGTCCAGAGTAGGCAGATTTATAGAGACAGAAAGTATATTAATGGCTGCCTAAGGCTGGAGGAGCTAGATAGAAATAGGAAGCGACTGCTGATTGGTCTGGGGTTTCTTTGGGGGATGATGAAAATGCTCTTTAATTAGATAGTGATAATGGTTACAAAACTATAAATTTACTAAAACCATTGAATTTTACATGTTAAGTAGGTGAATTGTATAGTGTATGAATTACATCTCAATACAGCTTATTATATATTTTTAAAATGTGGCTAGTCTGAATTTGTGCTAAAGTGTAATACAAACACCAGATTTTTTTTTTTTTCTTTTTTTTAAAGACAGGGTCTCACTCTCTTTCCCTGACTGGGGTGTAGTGGCTCAATCTCAGCTCACTGGAACCTCTGCCTCCTGGGCTCAAGCAAGACTCAGCCTTCCGAACAGGAAGGCTAGACCACCTCAGCCTCCTGAGTAGCTGGGACCATAGGTGTGCGCCATCACGCTCAGCTAACTAAAAAAATTTTTTTGTAGAGATGGGGTATCACTATATTGCCCAGACTGGTCCTGAATTCCTGGGCTCAAGCAATCCTCCTGCCTCAGCAGGATCCAATCCCAAAGTGCTGGGATTGGATAACACCAGATTTTGAGGACTCAGTGCAAAAAATAGGAATGTAACACATCTCACTAATTTTTATGTTGGTTACATTTTGCAGTGATAATATTTGGATATATTGTTTTAAAGAAATGTAAAATTAATTTCACTTGTTTCTTTAATTTTTTAATGTGGCTCCTAGAAAATTTAAATTACATATATGGCTTGGTTTTTAAATTTTTTCTATTAAAAAATTTGCTTTTGTGCACTAAACAACAGTGTACAGTGGAGCAGTGTTAAGTATATATACATTGTTCTTGCAAAACTGAAATTCTGTGCTTGTTAAACGAAACTCCGTTTCCTCCTGTCCAATAGCTGCTGGCAACTACCATTACACTTTATTTATATGAATTTGACTACTCTAGATACCTCATATAAGTAGAATCATACTGATTTGGCTTTTTGTGACCGGCTTTTTTTTTTTTTTTTTTGTGACGGAATCTTGCTCTGTTGCCAGGTTGGAGTGCAGTGGTACCATCCACTGCAATCTCTGCCTCCTGGGTTCCAGCAATACTCTTGCCTCAGCCTCCTGAGTAGCTAGGACTGCAGGCGTGCGCCACCACGCCCAGCTAATTTTTGTATTTTTAGTAGAGACAGGGTTTCACCATGTTGGCCAGGATGGTCTCGATCTTTTGACCTCATGATCTACCAGCCTTGGCCTCCCAAAGTGCTGGGATGACAGGTGTGAGCCATGGCGCCTGGCCGTGACTGGCTTATTTCACTTAGCATAACATTCTCAATGTTAATCTATGCTGTAGTATGTATATAACTTACAGGGTGTTTGTTTTTTTTAGTTTTTTGAGATGGAGTCTCGCTCTGCCACCAAGCTGGAATGCAGTGGTGCGATTTCAGGCAAACTTTGCCTCCCAGGTTCAAGCGATTCTCCTGCCTCACCTTCCAAGTAGCTGGGATTACAGGCATGCGCCACCACGCCCGGCTAATTTTTGCATTTTTAGTAGAGATGGGGTTCCATCATGTTGGTCAGGGTGGTCTCAAACTCCTGACCTTGTGATCCGCCCAAAGTGCTGGTATTACAGGTATGAGCTACTGCGCCAACCAGCTTACAGTTTTTTGCTTGCATTATATTTTCTTTCCTTCCTTCCTTCCTTCCTTCCTTCCTTCCTTCCTTCCTTCCTTCCTTCCTCCCTCCCTCCCTCCCTCCCTCCCTCCCTCCTTCCTTCCTTCTCTCTCTCTCTTTCTTTCTCTCTCTCTCCTTCCTTCCTTCCTTCTTTCTTTTCTTTTCTTTTCTCTTTTCTTTTTCTTTTCTTTTCTTTTTTTTTTTCTTTTGAGATGGAGTCTTGCTCTGTCACCCAGGCTGGAGTGCAGTGTTAGAATCTCGGCTCAGTGCAACCTACACTTCCCAGATTCAAGCATTTCTCTTGCCTCAGCCTCCTGAGTAGCTGGGATTGCAGGTACACACTACCACACCCGGCTAATTTTTGTATTTTTAGTAGATATAGAGTTTCACCATATTGCCCAGGCTGTTCTTGAACTCCTGACCTCAAGTGATCTGCCTGCCTCGGCCTCCCAAAATGCTGGGATTACAGACCTGAGCCTCCACACCTGGCCCTTGAATTATATTTCTATTGGACAGTACTGCTGTAGATTCTAGATGTTCTTTTCCTTCATCCTTGCTAAATTCTTTTATTAGTTATAGTAGTTATTTTGTTAGTTTCTTAGATTTTTACTTTTTTTCTATTTTTTAAATTTTTATTAGAGACAGGAAAAAAGGAAGGAAGGAAGGAAGAAGGGAAGGAAGGGAAGGAAAGGAAGGAAAGGTTGGCCCGGTGCCGTGGCTCACTCCTGTAATCCAAGCACTTTGGAGGCCAAGGTGGGTGGATCACCTGAGGTTCGGGAGATCGAGACCAGCCTGACCAACATGGTGAAACCCCATCTTTTTTAAAAAAAAAAAAGAGAGAGAGACAGGGTCTGGCTCTGCCACCCAGGTTGGAGGGCAATGGTGTGATCATACCTCACTGTAACTTCAAACTCCTAGCCTCAAGTGATCCTACCCCCTTGGCCTCCCAAAGTGCTGGGATTACAGGCATGAGCCACCATGCTTATCAGTTTCTTAGGGTTTTCTATCTACTGACTCATGTTATCTGCAAACAGAGATAGTTTTCTTTCCTTTGTTTTTTCTGCCTTTTACTTCTTTTTGTTGCCATATTTTATAGGCTAGGACCTTCAATATGATGTTAGGTAGAAGTGATAACAATGGACATCCTTAGCTGGTGCTTGATCTTAGATGGAAAGTGTTCATTATTTTACTATTGAATTCCAAGTTAGCTGTAGGTTCTTCATACCTTCTTTTTATCAGATTAAGGAAATTCCTTTTATTCCAATTTTCTTAGAATTTTTATCGAGAGTGGGTGTTGGATTTTGTCAGAAGCTTCTTTTGCATGTGTTGAAATCATATTTTTCTACTTTTATCTATCCCTATGGCTAATTACACTGACTAATGAGAAACCCCACTTGGTCACTGACGTATTATCCTCTTTATATATTTATGGATTAGATTTGTGATTAATTTATTAAGAATTTATATGTTTATTTTCTTGAGGAATACTACTTTGTAACTTTCTTTTTTCTATTTTTTAAGAATTATCTTTGTTAGCTTTAAGCATTTGGTTAAGCTGCCCTCAAAATGAGTTGAGAAATGTTTCCTTCTCTTTTTTCTAAGAGTTTGTATAGGATTGACATTCTTTGTTTTTTGGTCCTTGATATAATTCATCAGTGAATTTACGAGTTTTCTTTGTGGGAAAATCTTTGATAAATTGATTTTTTTTTTTTTTTAAGACAGAGTCTCACTGTGTTGCCCAGGCTGGAGTGCTGGAGTGCAACAGTACAATCCCTGCTCACTGTAACCTCCGCCTCCCAGGTTCAAGCAATTCTCCTACCTCAACCTCCTGAGTAGCTGGGTTTAGAGATCTGATATTGCCATGTTGGCCAGGCTGGTCTTGAACTCCTGACCTCAGGTGATCCCTTTGCCTTGGCCTCCCAGAATTTCTCTGCCAGGCACAATGGCTCATGCCTAATCCCAGCACCTTGGGAGGCTTAAGGCAGGAGGATTGCTTGATGCCAATAGTTCGAGACCAGCCTGGGCAATATAGTGAGACCCCCATCTCTACCAAAAAAAAAAACCCATATATTAACCAAAAAAAAAAAAAAATTAATTACTTTTATGCACTCAATGTAATTTCTAACCTGGTTTTTTAAAAATTATGTATTTTTCAGTATTATAATATTCATATTTATAATTTTATTATAAGATATTCAATGAAGCTATACTGTTGCTTAATCAAGGGGTTTTGTCACAGTTTACAAAACTGCCTCCAGTGTTCAGGTTGGAGAATCTCCTATAAAAGCTTCCTTGCTGTCTTGCACAAGATACAGTTAGTAAAAGAAATATATGTAAATGCTTTTAACAGTATATTCCCTTATATTTTTAAAAGCAATTTCATCCTCAAGAAGAGCATTTAAGATAATGTGAATTTTAGCAAAATTTGTCTCACTTTAGATACTATTTGTAGGTATTATTGCTGTATTTCTTTAAACTTAGCAGTTAACCCCATTTCTTTCTCTGTTTTGAAGCTAAATGTTGCCAGCTACCTACAAATGATTTGCTTAACTGAGAATTTTAGAACTGATGTAAAAGACTTTGTAACCTTGTTAGCTGCAAATAATTGCGATATCAGAAAAAGTATCCTTTACTTACATTACTGGATTAGAAGTGGAGGCGGATTTTTAGAAGAAAGACCATTAACCCTTTATCGTAAGTTGATTTGTTATTAAATAAATTTCTATTATGGGACCCTTTTTAAAAATCTGTGCTATGACTGGGTGCAGTGGCTCATGGCTGTAATTCCAACACTTTGGGAGAATGAGGTGGGAGTATCTCTTGAGGCCAAGAGGTCCAGATCAGTCTGTGCAACATAGTGAGACCCCTGTGTTTATGAAAATTTATGGGAGGCCAAGGCGGGAGGATCACTTGAAGCCAGGAGTTCAAAACCAGCCTGGGCAAGAAAGTCAGACCCCATCTCTCCAAAAAAAAAATTGTTTTGATTAGCTGGGCATGGTGGAGTGCACCTGTAAGGTGGGCTACTCAGGAGGCTAAGGTGGGAGGATCACATGATCCCAAGAGTTTGAGGCTGTAGTGAGCTATGATTGTACCACTGCACTCCAGCCTAGACAATAGAGCAATACCCTGTGTCATAAAAAAAAAATTTTTTTTAATTAAAAAAACTCTGTGCTATACTAGAATAGTTGAAAGATTATAAAACTTTTAAGCATCTTGTTATGTTAATCTTCAAAATAAATATGCATATGTTAACTTTGTTCATAAAATGTTTCGGCCTGGAACAGTGACTCACAACTGTAATCCCAGCACTTTGGGAGGCCAAGTAGGATGGATCGCTTGAGCTCAGGAGTTTGAGACCAGCCTGGGCAACATAGCAAAACCCATCTCTACAAAAAATTGGCTGTACATGGTGATGCGTGCCTGTGGTCCTAGCTACTCAGGAGGTGGAGATGGGAGGATCACTAGAACATGGGAGATTGGGGCTACAGTGAGCCAAGATCATGCCACTGCACTGCAGCCTGGGTGATAGAATGAGACTCTGACTCAAAAAAAAAAAATTTGTAAACACCAAATTCAAGTAAATAGAATTAAACTGGACCTAGAAAGCTGGATTTTTTCCCTGGCTATGCTACTCTTTACAATTAATAGGTAAGCTCCAAAATTCACTTTACTTTTTTGAGCTTGTTTCTTCACCTCAAAAATGAGAGATTTGAACTAGATAATCTGTAAGTTACTTTTCCTTTTGTAGTTGTGCTTTTAAGATGATCTCATTGTTTAATTTAAAAAAACACATACAGGCTGGGTGCAGTGGGTCACGCCTGTAATTCCAGCACTTTGGGAGGACGAGGTGGGCGGATCACGAGGTTAGGAGATTAAGACCATCATGGACAATGTGATGAAACCCTGTCTCTACTAAAAATACAAAAATCAGCTGTGCGTGGCAGAACACACCTGTAGTCCCAGCTACTCAGGAGACTGAAGCAGGAGAATTTCTTGAACCCTGCACTTGGAGGCTACAGTGAGCCAAGATCATGCTACTGCTCTCCAGCCTGGGCAACAGAGCAAGACTCTGCCTCAAATAAATAAATACATAAAATAAACACACACAAATTCCCACCCTATTCCCCTTTCCTCTTCAAAAGTTTTTCTTTTTTCTTTTTTGAGGTGGGGTCTCAATATATTGCCCAGGCTGGAGTGTAGTGACTGTTCACGGGCGGGATCATAGTGCAGGATAGCCCTGAACTGCTGGGCTCAAGTGATCCTCGTGTCCTAGCCTCCTCAGTAGGCCACTGTGTCCAGCTTCCTCCCCAGAAATTAGACTGTTAAATTTTCAAACTGTTACTTACACATTTATTAACATACAATTTCTTATAAACAAATAATACTATAATTATTATTTAACAACTTTTTCACTTACTAAAAACATTGATTTTTCTACATGAGTATGTATACATGTAGTATTCCTTTTATGTGACTATAATGTACAATCACTTTTAGCTTCAGGAGTCTTTAAATTCTATCTTTCCTGGGAATTTTTTATTTCAGAAATGCTTTTATTTTAGTTTTTCAGTCATCATTTGTTACCTAATTCAAGTCACAGACACTTTTTGAGTACCTTCTCCATGCCAGGTCCTGTGTTTACATGGTTAAGACATGGTTCCTTGCCTGAAGAAGTTTTAGTTTGTGGTTTCCATGTTCCATAGTCACAGTTCTCTAGTTACAGATCCTACTCTGGTAAATACACAAATATTTCAAGGAAACCAAGGTGAAATTATGTCATATTAATTCCTTTTTTTCCTTTAATTAATTAATTTAACATTTTAACATGTTCTTTTTTTTTTTTTTTTTTTTTTTTTTTTTTTTCGTTTTTTTTTTTTTTTTTTTTTTGAGACAGGGTCTTACCCTATTGCTCAGACTGGAGTGCACTGGTGGTGCAGTCATGGCTCACTGCAGCCTCAATCTCCTGGGCTCAAGCCATTCTCGAGCCTCCTGAGTAGTTGGGACCACAGGGCATGCACCACCATGCCTGATTAATTTTTGTATTTTTTGTAGAGACAGGGGTCTCACTAAGTTGTCCAGCCTGGTATTGAACTTCTGGGCTCAAGCGATCCACCCACTTCAGCCTCCCAAAGTGCTGGGATTACAGGCATGAGCCACCTCATCCAGCTTCATATTATTATTTTTCAAAGTAGATATTCTATTCGGTGTAAGCTCATAGCTTTAACCATTTCTCAAAAGTAAATATAATGCATAACACATGGAAAATATCCTGGTATAACAAATTAGTTAATAACTTTTTGATATACCACTGGATATAAATTGTTACAGCAAGAACTTTAGAAGACAGAAAATAAGTATATATAGGTTCTCTTCTTAAAAATATCTTTTTTATATACATTTCATTCCTGTGTTTATTTTTTAAAAAAATAAACACAGATACATAAAGTAAAACAATATTCCCCTGCTTCTTTAAAGTAGCCACTGTTAGACGTTTATGCATATAAAATACAGATACATACTTATTTAGCAAAATTAACCAGTACTATATATGTTGTTAGACAGTTATTTTATTTTTTTTTGAGACAGAGTTTCGCTCTTGTTCCGCAGGCTGGAGTGCAATGGCGCGATCTCGGCTCACCGCAATCTCCGCCTCCTGGGCTCAGGCAATTCTCCTGCCTCAGCCTCCTGAGTAGCTGGGATTACAGGCATGCGCCACCATGCCCAGCTAATTTTTGTATTTTTAGTAGAGACGGGGTTTCACCGTGTTGACCAGGATGGTCTCGATCTCTTGACCTCGTGATCCACCCACCTTGGCCTCCCACAGTGCTGGGATTACAGGCGTGAGCCACCGTGCCCGGCCTAGACAGTTATTTTTAAGTTTATTGTCAGCACATACAGTTCTATCCCACTGTTTTTCACAGCTGCATGCTTTTCTATAGAATACAGTGGATGTAACATAATTTGATTAACCATTACTTATAGACATTTAAATTATCTTCAATTGTGATTAAAACAGTGAATATCTTTATACATATATCCTTGAATATGTCAGTAATTCTGATGGAGAGAATTCTAGAAGTATGACTGCTGGGTCACAAAGGCTGTCTACACTTTACATTTTGATAGTTGTTGTCAGACTGCCCTCTGACAATAATTGTACCAACTTATGCTCCCATGCATAGTATATGATGGTTTTTTCTCTGTGCTGCTGACAGAACTAGATTATCATTCTTTTAATTTTGCCAATTTAAGAAGTGAAATATGTACAGTATCTTATTTCGAATTTGTACTTCCGTCCTTAGTGGTGAAATTGTGTATCTTTTATTTAGGACTTTGAAATTATTAGTATTATTACTATTTTTTGAGATGGAGCCTTGCTCTGTTGCCCAGGCTAGAGTACAGTGGTGTGATCTTGGCTCACTGCAGCCTCTGCCTCCTGGGTTCAAGTGATTCTCCTATAAGTAGCTGGGATTACAGGCGTGCACAGTCACACCCAGCTAATTTTTTGTATTTTTAGTAGAGATGGGGTTTCACCATGTTGGCCAGGCTGGACTTGAAATCTCGACCTCAGGTGATCCATCCACCTTGACCTCCCAAAGTGCTGGGATTATAGGTGTGAGCCATTGAGCCCAGCTGAAGTTGTTATTTTTTTTTTTCCCCAGTCAGAGTCTCGCTCTGTTGCCCAGGCTGGAGTACAGTGGCATGATCTCAACTCACTGCAACCTCTGCCTTCCAGGTTCAAGCTATTTGCCAGCCTCAGCCTCCCTAGTAGCTGGGACTACAGGTGTGCGCCACCACACCTGGCTAATTTTTGTATTTTGAGTAGAGATGAGGTTTTACCACCTTGGCTAGGCTGGTCTGAAACTTGACCTCAAGTGACCTGCTCGCCTTGGCCTGACTTGAGGTCAGGAGTTCAAGACCAGCTTGGCCAACATGGTGAAACCCTGTCTCTACTAAAAATACAAAAAGGTGTGATGGCACGTACCTGTAATCCAGCTACTCGGGAGGCTAACACAGGAAAATCGCTTGAACTCAGGATGTGGAGGTTGCAGTGAGCTGAAATCCCACCACTGCACTCCAGCCTGGGTGACAGAGTGATACTCTGTCAAATGAATGAATGAATGTTATATTATACCCTTAATGAATTAAACACATATGTGGAGAAGAACAAAATGGGGGTATTGATCCAGAAGATGTCAAAGGATCTCAGTCTTTAAATAATTGTTTGATACAATTTGCTTAATATATATATAGCTAAGATTTTCTTTTATTTTGTAGGAGGAAATAGCAGAAATGTACAACTAGTTTGCTCTGAAGATGGCCTTGATAACAAAATTCACCCTAAAAATACTAAAAGGAAACGTGCAGACCTTCCGAAATGTGACAGTGGCTGTGCTGAGACCTTGTTTGGCCTTAGGAACATTTTTTCCCCATCTGAAGACTTGTTTTCATTTTTAAAGGTATTTTCAATGTCTATCTTGCAATGTTGAATTTATATTCCTTTTCATATTCCCAACACTAGATTCCTACCTTTTGAATCTCAAGTTTAACTTAAATTGCCTATAATTTGTATAAGCAATATCTGATTTTAACGCTTTCTACCACTTTGACAAATGGTACATAGGCATTGCTCTGACCGCATATTATAGGATTTAGAATAGATTTCAGAAAATTTTTCAGATAGACTATTTCAGAGAAGTCGTTTTAAATAAATGAGCTGCTTCTTTTTTTTTTTTTTTTTTTTTTTAAATATAAAGACGGAGTCTTGCTCTGTCGCCCAGGCTGGAGTGCAGCAGCGCCATCTTGGCTCACTGCAACCTCTGCCTCCCGGGTTCAAGCAATTCTGTGCCTCAGCCTCCCAAGTAGCTGAGATTACAGGTGCCCACCACCACGCCCAGCTAATTTCTGTATTTTTAGTAGAGACGGGGTTTCACCATCTTGGTCAGGATGAGTCTTGAACTCCTGCTTGAACTCCTGACCTCATGATCCACCCACCTTGGCCTCCCAAAGTGCTGGGATTGCAGGCATGAGCCATTGCGCCCAGCATAAATGAGCTTCTAATTATAATTGGAGTATATACTAAATACATAGAGAATTCTCCAAATTAACAGTCTAAATTTAATTGTTAGACTTATAGTAATATTTTGATGTATTAAGTATAGATAAATAAAATTATGATGGGTAGAGTCTCAGTACTTTGAAATTAGAATAGGCATAACACTGTATTCATATGGGTAGAAAAGTGTTCAAACACTGTACTGCTGTAACTTTCTTTACTCAAAATTCTTTTTCAGCACAAAATCACAACAAAGGAAGAATGGCATAAACTCATCCAGCTTCTTACTGAATTCCAAATGCGGAATGTAGATTTTTTATATAATAATCTTGAGTTTATTCTGCCATTACCAGTTGACACCATTCCAGAAACGAAAAACCTTTGTGGCTCAGCAGTAACTGTGGATACCAGTGGAGCAAGAAAAAATATGAAATGCCTTGGTAGGAAACATTCTGAAAGAGAACAGCCATTGAAAAAGTCACAGAAAAAGAAACAAAAGAAAAAATTGGTAACATTAGACGATAGTGACTTATTTGACACTGACTTGGACTTTCCTGATGAATTTACTAGCCTGTCCCCTGTGTCATCTTCCTCAAATTCAGAAGAAAACAAAGCCAGAGACAAAGGAAGCAATCCAGAGACAAAGAAATCTATTTCTTGTCCTCCCAGAACACCTGCAGGAAAGAAAAGTTCTCCCCTTGTTTCTCATTGTTTAAATTCTCTCTCTGAATTCATGGATAATATGTCCTTCTTAGATGCCCTTTTAACTGATGTAAGGGAACAAAAGGAATACGGTAGAAATGACTTTAGCTGGACAAATGGAAAGGTTAAAAGCGGACTTTGTGATGAATTTAGTCTTGAGAGTAATGATGGATGGACTTCTCAAAGCTCTGGAGAATTAAAGGCAGCTGCAGAAGCACTCAGCTTTACTAAATGTTCTTCTACTATTTCAAAAGCATTGGAAACCTTGAATTCTTGCAAGAAATTGGGAAAAGATCCAACCAACGATCTTACTTTTTATGTTTCACAAAAGCGCAATAATGTATACTTTACTCAGTCAGCAGCTAACTTAGAGTAAGTCTCACTTCCTTTACTTTTTATTCTTTAGTAATAAATGGTAAAGGGGAAATCATTATTTTTTTCTTAATTTAAAAATGCTGTACTACTGATTATGGTAAGCCGTTATCATTAATAATGTAGCTTCTAATGAGACAGTTAAGGAGACCAGGTTGATTGTTGGGAAGAGAAATAATGAATGATTGGGGTGGATCTGGGTAACGCTTGAATGATGCAGGAAGAAATTTGGTCTTGCTGTGATAGATAGCAGATAGTTACTGAGATTTTTTCAGTATGGGAGTGATTGATGTGTTGACAGGAAATTAATCTGGAAATGTCATCTGGTCTAGGCCAGAGGCAAGAAACTAAACTGGCTGTGTTTGGAATTACTGCATTTGTATTGGGCATTAAAAAAAGCAATGCATTACTTTTACAGCAATGCTTGGAAGAGGATAGCAGTCATTAAAAGTGTATTTTCTAGTCGATCTCTTCTCTATGTGGGTAATAGACAAGCTAGTATAATTGAATACCTGCCAACCCTTCGAAACATCTGTAAGACTGAGAAGCTAAAAGAACAAGGAAAAAGCAAAAGAAGGTAAAGGCTCTATTAAAAACAACATTTTAGATAGCTTTTTTAAGATTAATACATATTTTCATAAGATGAAAATATTAATATTAAATTGTATTTTTCTTTGTAATTTTGACAGATTCCTGCACTATTTTGAAGGAATTCATCTTGACATTCCAAAAGAGACTGTGAATACTTTGGCAGCTGACTTCCCTTAATGTTCCATACTAACAATGCTTTGTATAGATTATTATGTGGTTCTTAAGATACATTTTTATATTATGTGGATCTTCATGGAAAAGTTTATTTCTCAATGTACATTTTAAACAATTTGTATATTTTTTTATTGGTGTGCAAATATTTAAAATATTTGAGTTACAAATTGTATATGATTGTGGTAATTTTTTTTCTGAATTTTTTGTATTATCTGACTTAGCTTTGTTGGAGTATTTTTTGTATGTGAATGAACTGTTTCTGAAAGGTGGAGTTCATTAAGATGAACTCTTTCAAGTGCTTATATTATATATTAGTTTAATATTCAGATACATTATCTTGGCTGGTCCAATGGTAGTGGGTCATCAGAACTTACTAACATTAGTGTCACTAAAGTTGGTATACAACCCCCACTGCTAAATTTGGCTTTAAAAAAAAAAAACGTAAAACAAAAATATTATCTCGTGAATTATATTTTTAACACAGAAGTTAAGGATCCTAATATTGTACAGTGGTTTTTTTTTTTTTTTTTGAGAAGAACTTTTTTCCTTTCTCCAGGCTTTTTTTTTATGACCTGATAGCGGCTCAATGCAACTTCCACCTCCTGGGTTCAAGTGATTCTCCTATAAGTAGCT